ATCTGGCTGCCCCATCACAGCAAGAATTGCCCAGCATGGTTTGTCTCTCAAAGGGCCATGGCTGAGCAGCTGAAATAATGCAACCTTCTCTTGCTGATGGAAGTTTAGCTCCAGCGCCAGGTGGTGGTGGGAAAAATCACTGCTAATAGGGACAGACACAATTGTCCTTCCGTTATACATCAACAGGAGCGTTGCCACCTGGGGTGGGAGGAGGAGGCGGTGTCAGGCATGGGTGAGTGTTGTTAGTTGTGAAAGAGAAGGCAACAGCCAGCAAGAGAGACTGAGCCTGCCGGTGTGGTGCAGGGTGCTGGGGCTGAGAAGGATGGGCTGAGAAAGACCCTGCCGCAGCCTTTCCAGGGATGGTCTGTAGAAGGAATAGGAGAGGGACAACGAGGGGGATCTCCCAGTACCAGCTCAGCCCAGTCTCCTGCAGCTGGGCACTGCCAGGGGCTGCAGCATCACTGTGGCAGGAACAGGAGAGTGCTGAGGGCGGGGGCTGGGGAGGGTGGGAGAGGCCCAGAAGCAATGGCCAGAGCTCTCCTGAGCCACAGGCAGTGCAAGGTGGAGACAGTCATCTGCCAGAGCCTCACCTCCAGCTAATCAGTGATGCACGCTGGTCCTCTGCTCCCCTCCGTCCCACCGCAGTCACTCCTCTTCACGTTGGCCATGACATCAGCATCTTCTGCCTCTGACCATCATCCTCTCTGCTGTCCTGTTGCTTGCCCCACTGCCAACCTCTCCTTTTGCTGTACTTTTTTGCCTTCCCAGCTCCCACTAACCTACCCCTACAGTGTGCTGAGACCCACATCAGCATCCCTTGTTCTGGCCTCCCCCATCCATTCCCTGTCCCTCAGACTCTTCCACATCAGCTTCTGCAATGCCACAGTCACCACCCTACACCATTTACCCCCTTCTTTAAGCCCCAGGGGATGGTGGTGGGGGGAAGTGTGGCCCACGCCACCCCTCACGCTGCCCTCCACAGTCGCTGGCCCAACAGGGCGGATGCAGCCCTGCCAGCTGTCTCCCGCTGGTACCTCTCCTGCATACCCCACAGCTGCAGGGGGGCTGCTTTTACCTCTGTATCCTGACTCAGTGTGTTCACCCTTCCGTTGTAAATGTTCTTGCAGGAGGCCACGGCCACCGCTGTGTTACAAGGACAAGCGGTGGGACCACAGGCTAGAAGTGTTCCCCTTTTCCATTGTTTTTTGCCTGCAAGTAACTTCAAGCACTATTTGGTGCACACGAAAGAGCTGCAAATCAATCTCTGGGCACAGAGGCCTGTTTTGAGCTCCTCTGTGCAACAAAGCACAGCCCCGCACAGTTATAGCCGCAGGCAGGAGCCAGCACAGGGAGGCTGTGCAAGACGGGCTGCAGGGACTGCAGGACCACCAAGGAGGGTGGTGTCGCCTCGCCCTTCAGGGTAGGAACCAGCACAGCAGAGGGAAGTTTCCACCAGAGCCACGCACGCTCATTTAGTTCCTTTTCCTTAGGAGCAAAAAGAATAAAATGGCCTCAAAACAGCAAGATGCCCCATTTATTTGCCAAAGCAGGCAGATCCAGAAGTGAAGGTCAGTGGCAGAGAAGAGAAAAGGAAGATTAAGTGATCTAACTGGGAAAATCTTCACACCACGAATGTATCCACTGCATCTCTCTTTCAGGTCTTCTGAGAGCCCCAGGAGGCAGAAGAGCATCTCTGCCTCCTGGGACTTCTGGCCAGTAACAGAGAATCACCTTTACTCCTTCCCAATAGACAAGTGTCTCAAAACTGCAAAACGTGCACACATCCAGAGGTTTGGTTTCTAGGCCAAGCTACAATGTCCACAAGCGACCTGGGAGCACAACTCCGTGGCAAGAAGGAAGGTCTTACAAATCCTTCCCAAGGTTAAGGACAGAGGGAGGAAGAAAAAAAACAACAAACCCACACAAACCTAAACACAACCAACCCCCATGCCCTAAAGATCCCAGAGCATTGATAAATGCAGTCATAACCACCACACAATTCCAGGTAGAAGGAAGTTAAAATGCATTTTCATTGTTTATCATCACACTACTTTCTGTACAAAGTGTCTTTGATATTGACCTAAAAAAAAAAAACACCAACCCAGACCCCAGATTAAAGCAGATCACAACTTACAAATGGAACACAGCACAATTCCATGTAAGTTTTCCAAGGACAGCCTGGTGGGACTTGTCCCCCACACCTTCAAACAAGCCCAAGCATCCCTTCAGCTGCTATAAAACACTGGCAATGACATACACCCTTCTGTCTGACCCCTTTCCCAGAAAAGGCTCTCTGGCAGTCCTTCCTGGCTGAAGGCTGACACCAGAAGGAAAGGTGCCATGCTCACCCAGCAGTGCAGTAGATGACACAGCCTCTCGTGTGCCATCAGCCATCTGGGGGATGCCGTGTGCCGCAGCAGCACACCCACCCCACGGCACACACCTGACCAGCAGCGCGGGACCTGTCTGAGCACAGAGACGGGCCTGCACATCAAGGGAGTGCGGATTCGGCACCAAAACCTCTACGAGGGCTCCCACCCGCTGCACCGAGGGTTTACAAAGACAGACTGATGGTGTCCAATACAGGTTTCACCGCACTCCAGGAATTTTGTACACATCAGGGACTAAGGCTCCCTCTTCTGAAAGGGTGGTGTTCATGCTGTGCGTTGGGGTGTGGGGGTGTTTGGGTTTTGTTTGGGTTGCGTTGTTGGTGCTGTTTGGTTTTGTTTGTTTGGTGTTTTTTCATTGTTGTGTTGGGTTTTTTTTGTCCCCTCACACAAAAAAGGCACTAACCACCCCTTACAAGAGTCTCCTGAAAATAGCTTGCGGGAGCTTTGCATTGTAGCCCACAGCACCTTGAAAATAAACACAAATGTTTTCACAGTACTCCCAAAAATACTATCCTGACAAAGCTGGAATACTAGAATAAACAAAGCTGGAATGCTAGAATGTAACAGCTTCCTAGTAGCCATTTCATGTTGATTCTAAACCTAAAAAAAAACCCAAAACAACTGAAAATTTGTAAGAGTTAAGGTGATGCCCAAGAACACCTTTAAATCTAAGTAGTCATATATTCAGTCGCTAAATAACATGGATAATACTGGTTTGCGTCCTCTTCCGAACTTTGCTCCACTCACTTTTAGGTCACGCAATGCAAGAGTCCTCTGGAGACCAGCCATGACGTCAGTTCTAAGCAACAACACACCATGAAAAGCCTGTTTTGAATGCACCCTGTTCCACAGAAACCCGAATTCACCTACCTGTGAAGAGTTTAGGATTACATACTTCACCCCCTGCTGAAGCATGTGGTTTTAAAGCATGTTTACGTAAATCACCCAGGATTTCTACATGAACTGACTGTGTAATACAGCTGGAATTGAAGACAGCTGCAGGAATTTCTGGAATGAAGCTGTCTGGATAGTATATCAATAGCAAAGAAAATCAACTGGACAACAGTCTTGAAAATGCTTTATTGAACCGTGTGTCTTATTGTAATGTGCAGAAGATGTGTTTGAAAAGACTACAGCTTGAAAAAATTTTTAAAATCCTCAACAATCAATAAAAAAAGTCCCTACGGGGGGTAACTCTCAGGATAACCAGAGGCCTCATGTGAAGCTTCCCTTGAAACGTTTTCCGTTGCAGAGACTAAGAGAAAGCAAAGCTAGTACTGCTCTATGTGGAAACAAACAGGATTTGAGGATTTAAAAAAAAAAACCACAAACACAAAAAAACCCAAAAACATAACAAAACAAAACGGTGGAACTTAAACTTCAGTCTATGGGGCTGCTTCTTTCGCTGCTGTTATTTTGGATTAGCATACACATCACAGTTCTGCTGAGAACACCGTCTGGTGTTCAAGTCTGTAAATTTACTCTAAGATGCTAGCAATGCTGCAGAGATGGAAGGATACAGAGAAAGAGAGAGGAGGTGAGGTGAGAAAGATGTGGAAAGACACCATTATGATATAAGCCTAGTTTAAATTTTCATCAGAAGCTGTGTGCACTTTTGTTGTTATAATCTAACCTTACATTCAAAAAAAAAAAACACCAAAAGAAAAAAAAAAGGGGGGGGGGGGGGGGGGGGGAGAGGTAGGGAAAGAAAACCGAACACAAACATATTCCTTCTGTCCTTGTCTTGGGGCTATTATAAACCTCTACCCACAAGAACATCATACTCTCTTTTTTTTTTTTTCCCAGACCAGTAGAGTTAACAGTATAGGCATGTAGGTGGCACGATTCAACTAGAAGGCTTTTTCAACTTTTTTATACCAGCAAAAATAACAAAAGGAAACAATAAATAAAAGGTGCTAAAGTTAGCATTAAGAATTCAATTGTAATATACTGACAATCTGGGAATCCAAGTCCTCAAGCTCTCCTGATACTGACACGTCTCTGCAAACTATGAAGCAAATACATAAATAACTCAAAATATGATTGAGACTGTGAAAGCTAAGACAACATGATCCAGGTTAACTTTTTCTTTAAAACAGTGAATATATGAATTGTCTACACCTGAATAAAACATATTTAACAATTAAAGAATTTTAACAACCACAAAAAGGAAAAACTAATTTAAACAAAAGCCAACATAATTTGATTCTTAGAGCACACAAAAGCCCCCTGCAGTAAGTTCCAGCAGTGGCCTTACTGGTGTGTCTCCTACAGATGCATAAAAAGAAGTTCAACTCCACATTGAGGTGGTGGCTAACGGGGCAACATAATGGTCACGAACAGCAAAATGCCACACCCTGGTCACGACAACGTATCCCACTGCAGAGTTTCCATCCTGTGCAGGAACAGCACAAAAGATGTCATTCTGTTGCATATTATTCAAAAGCTACTTCGTGGCCACAAACTGCTAGTCAGCACTAACCTTTTTGTCACATAACCTTTGAATAATGGGAAAGCTTTGGGTTTTATAGTTTTACTCCTTGTATTTAAATTTTTAGATGACAAGGTCACTAAAAACTCATGCACGCTGCAAAAAACGTCATGCAGTAGTTAAGGTAAACCATCCAAGCATTTTTATTCATTAATATTCATAAATACACACAGCAGCTTCATTAGAGATTTTTTCATTTTTTTCGTCTTCAGTTTGAACGTGGAGTATTAGGAGAGCCTTTTGCATGTCAAGGTACAGGACACAGAGCTTTTTGCTCTGCACTGCAACCTACATTTACCTGCTAGAAGTAAAAATTAGTTAAGTGGAAATGATTATCATATATATCTTTTCTCTCTTTCTTTTGAATGTACACAATGTAACAAGAGTGACAGACCTGAAATTACAATCACCAAAACAAACCCAAGATAGTTGTTGTCCACTTTCATTGGCAAATACAGCACAGAGGACATTGTCTGCCAAGTGGGATGTCATCAAAGAGGAGGTGGAGGAGGCTCGTTTCCTTTATTACTCTCTTTTAAATTTAGGTTTTCTAAAGCAACATCTAGAGGCATAATATCTACACAGCCCATAGCACCAAAATCTGCAATCTCCCCCCGCTCATCCTCATCTGAGGAGGAACTTTCTTCCCGCATCAAAGTGGACAGTAGGAGCTCCTGAACAAACAGGCTGCAGTCTGCCCGTTCGCTTTCCATGGACTGGCGCTCTGCTTCCGACATCTTCAGATCGTTCAACCTGAACAGCAGCAAGGGAAGAGAAGACAGGCAGTTGGCAAAAGCCCACTTCACCGGTGACACTACTGGCAGGCACTGAGACGCTCTCGAAAACCACTCCTTCAGGATAGCCCTGCTTGCCCTTCAATAAGCACAGCTCTGGCAGCCTCCGACAACTCAGCACAACAGGCGTGCACTTAACAAACCACCCTTTCCCTGTTGCTGTAACAGCATTCCAAGTGGTGCCGAAAGCTCAAGGAAAATAAAAAACTATTTGTGAGGTTTCCTGCTACTCAGGACTCTTTTAGGGAGGGCTGCTGTGATTTCATAGACACTCATTACGTGCCTGGATCTGTTTCTAGGTCAACTTCTAAGTTCACATACGCCACAAAATGCATTAGTGCACGTGCAAAGCCCAGAGATTCCTGAAGCACAACACAACGTTCATTCCATCGCTTCTCCTCCGTTACAGTGCAAGCCCTGATCAGCAGGCAAATCACTTGCTCCAACTCTGAAAGTCACAATCTGTGACGCTTGCGGGTACTTTGATTAAGTTTCTCAAATAATAATGAGTTTCTGATTGAAATGAGTCACATGGCATTATTTTGCACTTAAGACATATATCAGATTGACTCAAATCCAGGTTTCTTGACACCGGAGCTGCTAAAATGCCCACACTCCTCCGCAATACCAAACAGACAAGAGTATGTGTGGGGAGATCGTGGAAGAGGAGATGTGGAAAACATTTTTATTTCAGGTCAATAGCCAACCTTCTAGAAGAACTGAACGACAGAGTGGGTGACTCCTCTTTAAAATACAGTACCACAAACGGTAGAACATAAATACAAGTAAATACACAGAACAACTTACCTTGTAAGAAGAAACTGGGAATTCTGGATAGTCTGCTGACTGTTTTCTGTGTTAGATGTGTTGGTTGTTGTTGTAGATTGTGTCATAGTGGTGTTGACGTTGATCGTATTGGTGCGCCTAGTTGCATTGCGTGCAGTCTCCAGTTGTTGTCTTGCTGCCTGTGCATGTTGTCTTTCCAACTGCAGTTGCATCTGCAGCTGCTGTAACTGAGAAGCAGAAGGGCCAGAGGAGTTGAGCTGTCCTCCTGCAGAACGCCTCACGCCTGACAGCTGAGATAAAAGCTCTGCCAGAGAAGAGAAAGTTTCTATGACGAAAGATTTTAAATGAGCATAACAGAATGAACACACCTTGAATTCCAGTGCATCAACTCCTTTTTTCAATCAATTAAATCAAATAACAAACAATGCTGAAGAGCCACCAAGCTCTTGGAAAAAGTCCTAGCATTCCATGTCCCAAAGAGTAAGGATTTATGCAGATTTATTCCAAATAAGAAGCCAAAGTTTAATGCCTTCAAAAGAAGAGTAGAGCCAATCTACAGGGAATGCCTGGCAAATGATGTCCTCTGCAGCAGTTCTGCGGAACTTCAAGTCAGAATAGCAATTGACCAAGAAACTACTTCATTTTGGCTTATTTTCCTCTCGACCAGTGTTCCCGCAAAACACAGGCTTCACCTTCCTAATATCCCAGAAGGAAGCTGGGTTGCAGCAAAGAGAGAAATATCATACTGTTGCTTCAAACATTTAATAAAAAATATTTAGTTAACATATTGAAGTATTGCCTCACATCAAAACTGAAGTGGTCAAGTGTTTTTCTGTATGAATTTTTATTTCTGCCAGAAGTACAGAAAAGGCCTAGTGATGAAAAAAATAACTGTCCTTAATCTTCCAATTCAGAGGGATGAAATGCTTACAGCAAGTTTCATCCACAAAGAATTTTTTGAAACAAATATTAGCAGCAAATTACTGCTAAGCGCATTACTGCAGAACCTCTTCCACACTCTGCGTAGAAGGTACTGCTTCTTCTATCACCTGCTTGCTGTAGGTGATGCAGGGGAAGAGGCAGCAGTGGACAATATTGCTCCTGCCCCTCACCTCCACATTACAAAGTTACTATATAGGTCATGACAATATCCCCTCCATTGCATTAACAAAATATAATTGTTCTAACAAGGCTTTCCTTGAGGGAATAAAGCAAAACACAGTTGTCTTCCATGTCAGGAACTCAGGATGGTCAAGTCATTTTTACCAGGACTGGGAGTAATACCAAGATTAAATAAGTTTGAATTCCATTATAATTTCTAGTAAACACCCCAGAGAGGAAAAAAAAAAAAAAAAAAGTAAAAAATGTAACATGCTGTAAACTTTATTTATTTTAAACAGAAAAATTCCGGTGCTCTTTCCTATTTATTACTCCCGTAAAAGGGAAGACATATCAAGCTTCCAGACAAGACATAGATGAATTTATTCTCACTGTAAGTTAAAGCATAAGTTGAAGCTTAGACTATAGCAAAACAATGTTTTGGAAGCAGACGTGAGCTCGAAACAGTCTCAGCGTAAGGAGGACACCCAGATCAGTGTGGAACTGAACTCTAAATGCAAGAACATAGCTTCCAGCAAAAAAGTGAAAGGTTCAGAAGAATGCCACTTCATCTCACATTTAATGCTGCTGAGTCTTCTCAAGAAGGCCTTGTGAGGTTGAAAACAAACTTCAGCAGCAACTCCATGTTCAACTGAGCTGAACTAGCTGCCCTTGTGAGAGAAAGACGATGTCTTGCACTGGAGGGTTCACAAACATCCTGCCTGCTTGAACAACCTCTAGCCCTTTTCAGATCCCTCTGTGACCTCACTTCAGTTATTTTCTTCTCTTGATGGGACACTTCTTCCCAGCCAATTTAATGAGTTAAATCAGGTCACCGCAGGCCAGCAGAGCACCAGGGCCAGCAGAAGGCAGGCAGGGGGACTATGACTAAGGAGGTAGCAGAACGACAGCTTCCCTTTCAGGGGCAATGCCTCATTCAGCTGGCTGGGTGGCTACCTCCCTCTGAAGAAGTCACAACATGAGAGCAGGAACGCTCCAGTTGAAGCATTATGCCTTCTTGGCATCTGATGCCAAGGTGGATTATGGCAGAAGTTCTGAGGTTTCCCTGACATGCTGGCATGGTCAAAGACCACCATATAAAAAAGTGTAGATTTTCCCTTAGGGAAAGTTGTGTTTGTTTTCAGAATTGTCTTCATTCTCTATTTTTAATTTCCTGTAAAAAAAGTTATTTTCACATCCAAGCTAAGCATATGCCAAACAAGTTATTTCTGGGAATCCTAAAGACACACCTTCATTATTTTCTGGTGTTGAAACTGAGACACCCTTCTTCCCCTCATCCCAGTTTTTCTAAACTTTACCAAAATACACTGCAAATATTTGCAACACAACATTGTATAAGAATTTAAAGGCACATCTGAAAAAAAGCCCTTAAAATCCATGATATTAGCAAGTCTGGCACTCAAACAGCAGCTTGAATGCAAACTGAACAGATTTCAAATGTCCGTTAATACTCAAATTCAGCTAATTTCATCTGTGCATAGATTAGGTTCGGGAGTAAGCCTTACACTGTCTAGAATTAGAAGCAGCAGCCACAGGCAGCAGTTTCAGCTTCAGCATCTCCATGCACAGGCCCTGTGACAACCCGGCTAAGCACCCTCCCCCCCTGCAAGCAGCCTCCAACCACACTTCCACTGTGGACCGTATCTGTACGTGCAACTTCGTAACCATGGAAAGCAGGGTGACTATCGTCGTCTTGAATTTTACTTTCTCTGTGTAAGAAGAACACCGGGGTACAATTCGTGGTTACAGCTCTTACCAGCTATAGGATCCATGGCTTCTCTATTGCTTGGAGAATACGAACTCTGAGAAGATGAAAGTCCACCAGGGGAACTGGTAGTAAAGTGCATGTTTGATCTACGTGCACGGGGGCCTCCCAAACCCCGGCCTGGGTGGAACATCCTACGTACATGCCGAACGCCACTGGATTCATCATAACCAAGAAGTTAAGAAAACAACTGTTTGGCATTAAGTATTAAATGACAAGGACATTTGATGGGTGAAATACTCAAGTGCACACTGTTCTTCACAAATTAATGATTCAACTTCTGAAGCAAAGCTAAGGTACACCGTAGCTATGGTGCAAGTCAGACTTACTGGTCTGAACTCAAGACAGACAGTGCTGAGTACACCAAACTCCCTGTATTTCTCCAGCTTCTTTAATCCTGATGTTTCTGAAACATCAGGATTAACGTCTTAGTTTTTCTAGGTTTGTAACAAGAAACACAAGCAGCCTTCTGGGACAAATTCAGAAAAAAAATAAAAACCCACAACAAACAAACAAAAAAATAAACCACACACACCTAATCAATACTTGGAAGATGAAGCCACTCCTCAGAACTCTAGCAGATCCAACAATAAAAACTCACTTCAAACTAACTTCACTCTAGAAAAAGTGGAAGCGAAGAACCTTCTCTCTCTTTTTTGTATCTGAAGGTTGTTACAGAGCACGAAGAGTTGTTCTGTACAGCTTTAACTTCATATGAAGATGCTCAGAACAGCAATATAACAGTATCAGAGAGCAGCGTTCTAACAGCTCCCTGACTTTGACAGTTATTTTTTCTTATGCTGCCAGACTCTGGATGAAAAGCGGCATCTTCTCTTCCTTCTCTTCTACTTTAGACCTTCCTGTTGCTAGACATGATGTAGAGCCCAACGTGCAACAATCACTTCAGGATACACTTCTAATCAGGTTTTGAAGACTTGACAATACTGATCTGCAGAGTGTACGAGCAGAAGATTCTACATGTATTGTCTTTAATGCTGAATCATAAAAAACATACTCCCAAAACATATCCAAGAAAGGTCCACGTTGGGATGACTGACATTGAAGCTTTATTCTGTATGAGAAAAGACTGATTTTTCTAGCTCAAACTCTCCCAAATTAAAAGTCATTAGGTGGTATTTCTGATACTGAAGGGGGAGAAAAAGCTGCAGAAGCATGAACTCTAATCAAAGATCTTGTTCATTTCAGTAGGAAATTAATTTCACTCTGTAACTAGGAATATTTAAATTTCCTGGCCTCTAGAGCAGTTAAGCCCATGTTGGAGGGCCACAGATTGACCTCTGGTACATTGCTATGCAGTTATTGGGGATGTAAATTTTGTTTGAAAAAAAGTATTAGGCAGGTGCTATGAAAATCTGACAACTGGTTGAAAGAGAAGAACTAAACTGATACAAGAAAAATTGCTCAGTGACTCACCACACCAGTCATCAAGCAACATCTCAGAGCCCGTCCAAAGGCCAGGAAAGATCCAACGGTCTGAAAGATGCTCTCCCCTCACTAATCTCATCCCACCTCCACTCGAAAGGGAGGGTAGCGTGACAACCGTAGCAAGTTTAAAATCATTCATCAAAACAAGCTAAGCTCGAATCATCCTCATCATCATCTTCACGTCACAAATACTTACAGCATTCTGCTGAACAGGGATACAAAAAGCAGCATCAAGACTAATGATCAGGCAGGATAAAACACACTGCAAGCAGAAAAACCTCTTGGTGTCAAAGTTTTTGAAATGTTTTTGCTGTTAGAGCAAAAAGCTCTGTCAAGTGTATCTACAGTCTGTTCACAATCTGGTATTTATACTTTTTTAAACTAGGAAATGAACCTTTTGATTTTTAACACACAGATCTTCAGCAACTTAAGTTTCAGGAAAATCAGAGGTATGATCCTTTGACTATAAAAATCAAAACAAGTCATCATGGCTACTAGATGAAACAGTCGAGCCTCTTTGCCTCAACTTGGAAAGGATATTAAATCTCTAGGAGCTCTGTGTTCCAGTGTAAGATGAGCTGCAAAGTCATCTGTGACATGGTTCGGATCCCCTCCAGGTAATGCTGCACATATTGGACAAATCTGGAATGACAAAAAATGAGAAAAAAACCTCAACTTTATAAGTTTTACACAAAACAGAACTCGTACTATTGTGTCAATCATTAGACATTAATTCTTATGCTTTAAAATCACATTCTAGGTATTCACAAACACCTGGATGGTAACATATTTTAAAAACCCAGAAAACATACTCAAGCACAGACATTAACTTAAGACAACTTTTACTTATTATTTTCAGAATGCTATGAAAACCAGAGCTAGAATTTTCAAATTCAACTAGCAATGTCTTGAGAATCAGTCTTTGTACGCCAGTTCTGCCACAGACAGTAGAGTTTGATCACACAGGATTACTATCTGCCTGCTTGACACATATCCCACCAGAGGAATCAGAATGAAAGCCCAGGTAAGTATTTACTGAAGTATCAAACTGAGACCACCTATCCAGGCAGTGAATAACTACAGATTTGGCAGAGAAGGGCTGATCTCTAGATCCCTACACAACAGTGTTTTGGGAGAAGGCACTGTTGTCTGTCTTTTATTTTTCTTAAACCAAAACACATTAAGTAGACAAGCAGCGCCATTACAAATTGCCATAACTATGACTTGCTTTTTGAATGACCCTACAAACAGCTTGAAAAGCACCTTACATTTTCCTTCACAGTAGTTTCGCACACTGATTTTAAAGTTTTACAGATAGTACACACACACACAAAAAAAATCCATTCCACAAAATTCTTGCCCCAAATGCTAAGTGCTCAAATTAACAGCACTTGGAAAATTAAACGCAACTGCTATCTATGAATTCATCTCTCTGTCCCTCACAGTCTAATAGTCTTGTCTTTATGGAGCAACTCTGGTTGCAACAAAAAACCACCAAAAAAAAAAAAAAAAAAAACAAAAAACTCCCGGTGTTCTTCATGCATATACTCAAGTTGTTAACGGTAGATCTCAGAAGACCTTGAGCATTTAGAACACCTGTGTAACAGCACACACGCCTGTCTTACTCTTACGGAGGTGAGAACGAGGCCTTGAAATAAGTTAACTGTAAAATTTCAGCTGCTTTTGACAGCAGCTACTACATTCTTAATGCCACTTTAATTTTAGTAGTCAGCTCTCAGCAGAAGATCAGGCATTTTAAAAGCTTTTTGCTACAACCCCTTCCCCTTTATTTTCAGTGTTCAGCATTTCTCTTTGGAGAACAACCTCTTCCCAGATTTTTCACCACCTTCGTACGGAAGCCATACAAGTAGACACACTACAGAGCAAATAAATCTTATTACAGCATAGTATGATAAACACTCGACTACGCCAACATAACATACAGCTACCCTGCAGGGGCACAGGAATGGATGCATATTGGGTAGATGGTTCTAAGGTCCGTAAACTTAATTCATAAGCTGCTTTATCTTAAAGAATGTGTTTTGTACCAACAGGAAATAATGCCTTCGAAGCAAACTTTTTTTATTTGAGCTACTCTGAGAAAGCGGAACTCCAATGCAAGAACAACACCACGCTTTTGAAAGTAGCAAAGTAAAAGAAAGTTATTTTGCTAACAGGACAAAGGCATTATGAACCGCACATATTTGCCTGAAAAGAAGAGACACAGTCCTCAGAAAAACATCAGCTATGAAAAAGTTAAAAGGAACAATGGGAAGGAGGGAATCTAAGTATCCTAACCCTAATTCTAAACGTGAACTAAACTTCTAAGAAACCTTTGACTGGGAGAAGTTATTGAAGCATTGTCACAATCAAAAATTTAGTTAAGCACAAGCTCTGGCAAAATCACAACAAAGACTGCAACATCACTGATTAAGCGTGACACAGCTAAAAATTATTATTAATAGATCATGCATGAACAAACGGTGCAGATGAAAGGAGAACATTGTTAGAAGTTTCTGCTGAAGATATAATCATTTGTATTAAGAAATTATCATGTTACTCTGAATGACGTCTGGAAGATGACTGCAAAGTCAGAAGTCAACCACGCTCACAGAATACCTGTGTTTCCAGAAGTGTGCTTGTATTATCACTACCTCCCTATTTACACTTTAAGTAACAGCATTTCTGTAACCTCAACAAAAGCCACTGTAATCTTCAAGAATGAAACAGGAACCACTCAGACTGTCTCAGATTGTCTATTCCATTACTGCAAGAAAAGCATTCCTCAAATTTATCAGCAACGTGTCAACACCCTAGTCTTACAGTTCACATGCAAGGAGCCTAGCTACTGCCTTGCTAAACATGAGAAAGTTGCTGCAGTGCAATAATAGTAGAGAATTTGTGTGTCTGTTCTGAAATAAGATTCAAAGACGGTATTTAATGACATTTCCTTAAATTTTTGTATTTTCAATGCTAGCAGACTTCTAGTTGAATGCTGCGTTTTATTTGGAACAGCTGACTGATGTGAAACTCAACGCCAACGATAACAATCACCATACCGACAGCCAGATTCTTTTGCACTTGCCTTATAATGCTTACCATTGGCCTCAGACACTTACTAGTGAAGAAATACTGGTAATTACTGAGGTTTTAGTACTCACCAAAATCATACGATTTCTTCTTTTTAGGGTGTAAGCATAGAGACTTAATCAATCACAAAACCTCTGACTACTCCCAAGACACCAGTATAATTTTCAATTAAAGCATTCAGAATTAAAACAATCACCTTGGAGGAAGTATCACCAAACTCTCCTCCAGGAGATCCTCTCCAGAACCTCAACATGCTGGGGTGCCTCTCCAAAGTGCCTGTATACTAATGCACACAGCATGTGGAATAACCGTGACAAGTTAGAGATCTGCATGAAGTTGCAGGGTTACGATCTTCTTGGGATCACGGAGACATGGTGGGATGGTTCCCATGACCGGAGTGTTGAAACAGAGGGATGCAGGTTCTTTAGAAAGGAGCGGAAGAAACTTCTTTAGAAGAGGAAGGGGGTCTTACTTTTTATGTGAGAGAGCAGCTGGAGTGTCTAGCTCCGCCTGGGGATGGAAGAAGAGCTGATGGAGATCTTGTGGGTTGGGATTAAAGAAAGGACAAGCAGAAGTGACATTACAGTGGGTGTCTACTACAGGCCACCTGATCAGGAAGAACAAGTGGATCCGGCCCTCTACAGACATACAGGAGCTGCCTCACACTTGCAGGCCCTGATCCTCATGGGGCACTCCAACCACCCTGATGTTCCCTAGAGGGACAACACAGTATGACAGCAATCCAGCAGGTTCCTGGAGTGCACTAATGATAACATCCTCCTCCAGGCGACAGAGGAGCCAATGAAGAGAGGTGCTCTGCTGGAGTTCATACTCACCAGCACGGAGGGGATCATTTGGGATGTCAAAGGCAGCCTTGGCTGCAATGACCTTGAGATGGTGGAGTTCAGGATCCTGAAGGCAGGGAAGGCGATGAAAAACAAGCTCACAACTCTGGCCTTCAGAAGAGCAAACTTTGGCCTCTTGAAATATCTGCTTGGGGAAGACCCATGGGATAAGGCCCTGGTAGGTAGAAGGGTCCCAAGAAAGCTTACTTATATTCAAGGGTCATCCCCTCCAAGCTCCATCCCAGTGACTATGAAGTCAGGCAAAAATACCAGGAGGCCTATGTGGATGAGCAGGACACTCCTGGCCAAACTCAAACACAAAAAGGAAGCTTACAAAGGTCACCCTCTTAGGGTAACCTTAGAGGAATATAGAAACATTATCTGAGCATCCGAGGTCAAAGTAAGGAAAGTTAAAGCCTAAATGGAATTGCATCTGGTGAGTAGTGTCAAAGGCAACAAGAAGGGCTTCTAGAAGTACATAGGCAACAAAAAGACAGCAAGGGAAAATGTAGACCCACTGCCGAAAAGATGGGGGACCTGGTTACACAGGACACAGAAGAGGCTGAGGTACTGAATGCCTCTGTTGCCTCAGCCTTGACTAGCAAGACCAGCCTTCAGGAATTCCAGGCCCCAGAGACCAGAGGGAAAGTCTGGAGCAAGGAAGACATTCCCCTGGTAGAAGAGAATTAGGTTAGAGAATTCTTAAGTGAACTGGACATACTGAAATCCATGGGCTGTGATGGGATGCACCCACAAGTGCTGAGGGAGCTGGCAGATGCCATTGTGAAGCTGCTCTCAATAATCTCGATAATTGCTCAAAAACCATGGTGACTGGGAGAGGTGCTGGAGGGCTGTAGTTATACAAATGTCACTCCTATCTTAAAGAAAGGTAAGAAGGAGAGTCTGGGGAACTACAGGCTGGTAAGCTCACCTCAATCCCTGGGAAGGTGATGGAGCAGCTAATGCTGGACACCACTTCCAGACACATTAAAGACAAGAAAACCATAAAGAGTAGCCAGCATGGCTTCATGGAGGGGAAATAATGCTTGATGAGCTTGATAAACTTCTATGATGAAGCAAATGACCTGGTAGATGACTAGAGAGTAGTGGATATTGTCCACCTGGACTTTAGTAAGGCCTTTGACACTACCTCCCATAGGATCCTCATAGACAAGCTGCTGATGCCCAGGCTGCATAAGCAGACTAAGGTGGAGTGAAAACTGGCTTAATGGCTTGTCTCAGAGGGTGGTGACCAGTGGGAATTTTGGTGACTACACAAAAATGGGAAGAGCAGCTGATAAGCCAGAGAGCTGTGCTGCCATTCAGAGAGACCTCAATAAGCTGGAGAA